TCATCGTCTTTCTAAATTTTAACGCGTCTTAGGGCCGTAGTGCGGTAGTGACACTTTTCCGGACATGGGTCCCTATACTCAAATGTTTTCTACTGTTGCACTGAATAACCCCTAGAAGTTTGATCCCATAGTTCTGAAACACCCTGTATATATATATATGACGTAAGAAAAGAATAAATATTCATAAAGCTGAGCATTGGATATAATTATAACAGAAATAAAATTAAGAATAAAAAATTTCAGACAAACAACGTCTGCGAATAAAAAGTAAGCATTTCTGAAAAAAAATAACTAGTATTTCTTCTCAATGACGTATCTTTCAGGATAAAAAGGAGAAAGATGTGGCTTTGTAGGAACACTTGTATTTTGTGGAGCTAGTCAAGTTGCATCTCTGCGATTGTGTCGTTCGCTTGTCGGTTAGGTGAGTATCCACATTGAGGAGTCAAATAATTACAATCTGACGTTTTTACAAAAAAAGGTAGGACAAAACATTTGTAAAAAACTTTTTGAAAAAACTAAATATTATAACTGTTACATATTGTAACAGCAAGGGAGCGTGTCGCGCGTTGACAAGATCATGTCGTAATTTTAAATCTCACATTTCCTTTATCACGAATCAAATAATGCGCGAGTTAATATTGAAAATTGTAGCTTGATGTATCAGGTCTACCGGAAAGTTCTGTCCGTTTTTGAAATAAAACAAAATACAAATTTTTTTTAATTTTTCAAAAATGGGATATACAAATTGCCCTCACGCTGGCAAGAAATCATTAATAACAATTATATTACTTGATAAAGTTTATTGACGGTAAGAAAAATTTGTTTATTTTGTTTTATTCCAAAAACGGACAGAACTTTCCGGTAGACCTAATATATAATACCCGTATTTTGTTACGTATTCAATTGATTTACTGCAAGTCGTTTTACAACAGCGTAAAAGGATTTGAACAATCGGTTGTCTAAATCGTCCGAATTAAAAATATAAATTTTTGCGCTTTGTAAGAGAGCGTATACTCAAATCTAACATCAATCGTATCTCGTATGTCAATGTGTACGCTGAGATCGGTATGTTCGTAGATGTACGTACGATTCGGTCAATTAACAGCACGTCGGCGACTCTACGTCGACGTGTGAGCGAAAGTAAAATCGAAACAATATCATTATCTTTGTCAGTTTGTATCCGAACATCTAACGGCTTGCGAGAAACTAGATGAGAAGATAGTTAATGCGAACTCTGCGATAATAACAAAAAAAAAAAAAACATGAACGCTTTTAAGTATCGCTTAAGAAACGTCGAATTATTAAGATCAATTTTTTTTCTCGAGTGTCGCACAAAGTTTTCTTTGTGTCATTAGCATAAACAATAAAACAGCAAGTGTATTGGTAACGAGGCCTTCAATGAATGCACACGTGTGATGAAGCGCAATTATTACATCTCTGTCTTAAAAGAAGACACGTTTAATTGCTCAATAGAAAACAACAAATTTGAAGAAAAACTCGCAATATCGCTATTATCTTCTTAAATATCTTTAAAATATCTTTTTTCTCTGTGACTCTTTTGCGTTGTCTGGGTTAGTCGGTCTATATTTGTTTGTGACATTGATTGCAATTGTTTTTCCAGAAAATTAAAGTTTTTCTGGTTATGCAGTGAAGAAACCAGAACGAATTACTGCTGCAAAAAAATACGTTACGCAACTTTATTAATCTTTCAGATATAAGTCTCTGAGACACACACCCAAAAATTTCAGACCGGTATTTTTATTAGGTATTAATTTAGCATGACATTTGAAGGCTACGCAAAAATTTTAAGAACTTGGACGATAGGCCTTGCGAAAAGAATTTGAGAGACTTAGGTTTAGACAAGACGTTGGCATTTTGAAAAGCAAGTAAATTTTTTTTTCAGTTTCTGCACTTCTGATATATTAAAAAATTGTTGTTTTTTTTATAATTTTATCAAAGTATATTTATAGCGATTTATTATTTATAGATTACGGCGCGCAGATGTATCTTGTGTAATGTATCTTCAAAACTATTGAAGATTTTTTCAATCAGTTTTCTTTTATCGACGCAGAATTGTTGAACCGTTCGATTAAAAACAAAAGAAATTGAAAAAAAATATTGATCTTTTGTGCGAAGATATTTAAACTTAAATTCGCGTGGATCTTGCAGACCCAGTTTGAACAACTTGTAGATCATATTTTATGTCTGGCACTGAGGGATTAAACTATCAACTTTGTCCAATTATATCTTGGTGTTCTAAATATTTGTGAATTATCTTTCGCTATGGTGTTGCCCAGCAGTTTTGTTTTTTTTTTTTATAAGAGAATGTTTTTTTAATAAGTTGTCTCACGATTTGCAAAACAACTATCTAATTTTCTAATTTAAATGCCGTAGCCATTTGCATTCGGTCACACTCCTGTGTTATATAAAAGAATTATCAAATTCATAAAATGTTTGTTAATACGATTTCATCACAGAAACAGATTATGTAATGCATCCTTCTTTAAAAATTAGGGGTCTTCGAAACAGGCTCGTTCCTTTTTCTCTCAGATACGTTATAAGCAGTGAAAGTGTGCGGTACGCATTTCTCGTCCGGGTGGTGTTTTAAACATACAATTGTTTCTCTTCCATAAATCCGATGTTGAGTAGTTTTGTCTGTCTTTTTTTTTAGGGTTATCCAAGAGAGAGAGAGAGAGAGAGAAAGAGAGAAAGCTCAGAAATGCAGCTGAGAACTGCCATGCTGGCTCTTCTAACATGCGTCTCGGCCGCCGCCGAGTTCGGTGAGTAACGTCTCTTCGGCTGGTGAATTCAACGCTTGCGCGCGAACCTAGTTCGCGTCAGTGATTTCAACGCCCGTAACAATCCTACCGTCAGTGATTTCAACGCCCGTAACCAATCTACCGTCAGTGATTTCAACAGTTGTAACGCAATTCGATAGTTTTGACAAGGAAAATCTCTACTCACATTTTGTCATGGAAGATGTTCAGTCAGTGCTTTGTTATCTCAGCTAAAGTGTATGAAAATTAATTAAAATTAAAATTTGTATTATTAAATAATATTTAACAATTAAATCCTATTGAAGCTTCGATAAGTTACTAAACTAAGAAATATATTTACGGTCATCCGAACCGATCGCAGGATGTTGTGCGGAAAACTGCGTGTATATATATATATATACATATATATATATATATATTTGTTTGCGTGTAAATTTTAAACAATATTTGTATTATTAAATAATATTGATGTGTGGCATATAATCCATTTTAGTAGATTACATAAAGTGTGAGCAACGTGTGCGAAATGTTTTCAGAGAGCGCAATACTCAAACCCGAGATGTTTGAAAGTGAAAGTTTATTACGTGAATTGCGTTTACGGGCAATTCTGCGAAAAATTTTTTTCGACGATCTCTCATTTCTTCGATGTTTTGTTTACGAGCTGCTGCTTTCAGAGGATCATTTTAAAGACTGTCATCCCAACGTGCCGGGTTTCGATGTCTGTGTGCGAAAAGGACTGAACATGATCCAACCTTACTTCAAGACCGGCTTGGTCAAGTACAACGTGCGACCGTTCGATCCGCATTTTGCCAAGGAAATAACAGCTAGTAGAGGACTGCCGAATTTCGGCTTCACTCTGACTCTGCAAAACGTCACCGAGATCGGATGGAACATGAGCAAAGTGACAAAATTCGTTTCCGATTTGAAAAATTACAAGGTGAGCGCAAATGTTGTAGTCATCGATACAAATTAAGCAAACGACGTATCGTGCGAATTTCGAGGTGACCATGTGGTTATTCGGAATATCGCGTTACTCTTATCGCTTTTCTTTGCAATGCGCATTGTAACTTATGGCGTTTGTGTTTTTCTAAGATGTCAAACAATTTGTAAAAAAAAAAAAAAATAATATTTATTTATGACAAAATTGTAATTAAATATAAGTAATTTTTATAAACATTGTGTTTATTAGATTGTGTACACGCAAACTTTTCCGGAGAAGTATCTGAATGGCAGTTATGAATTTAAAGCAGTGGTTCTCAGTTCTAGTTTTCAAAATAAAGGAAAATTCTCAATGGCTTTGTGTAAGTAGTAACGTAACAGATATTTATTTTTAATTAAGAATTAAATATAAAAAAAATATATTTTTAAAAATTATAAGAATTTTTACTTTTGAGATTTTTTCAGATCTTGCTACCAATTACATGTAACAATTATATTGTAACTTATGGCGTTTGTGTTTTTCTAAGATGTTAAACACTTTGTGAAAAAAATAATATTTATGGCAAAATTGTAATTCAATAAGTAATTTTTATAAACAGTAATTTTTATATATATTTATATATAT